TTTGAGCTACAACCCCAGCCTTTTTTATTTTTTGAGACAGAGCCTTACTACATTGCCCGGGCTGGCCTTGAACTTATGATCCTCCCAAGTAGTTGGGAGGCCTCAGCCTCCCAAGTAGTTGGGATTCCAAGTGTGTGCCACTGTACCTGCCTAGTTTGTTTCTTCCAATGAGAAGTTCCTCAGGAATATATTTTTCCTAGGGTCATTCTTTTAGTATATGAGTTTTTCATCTGGCACTAAATAAAACCTCAGAACCTTCCACCTCTATCTTCATATTGTCATCTCTACCTCAGTTCTAAACACACAGTCCGGAGGACCCCATTTCTTCCTTCCCCAAACTTGTACCAGTAGGAGTTCAGTGTGAGAAATGACAGCTTTTATGCCTTAACTTTTACACTTCACTCTGCCTCCCTGACAGATAACTGTGCCTGTGTCCAAAGGCATTGCCTAGATGCCCACTGGACTGGAGAGTGCTTGGTATCAGCAGTATATCCATGGAATGGCCTGTCTCTGCCAAAGCCAGTGTGTCCCAACTGGTGGCACTGTAGGTGTTCAGGCCAACACAAGATACCGTGAGGGGTCCTGGGTTAGGATGGAGCATTCTAGACAAGCTCTATGGGCCTCTGTACTTCCACGAAACACCATGTTTTGCCAAAACTGTTATTGATAACATACTCTCATAAATTGTTTACTTGGCAATTCCTAGTACTATCTACCAGAAGGCTAAGAATAGCAGAGACATCTTTTGGCATCTGCAACCGAAAAATTATACACATTAAGCTTTTTGGAAAGCTTATTGCAAAAACTGAGAGCTTTAGGTTCCCAAGACTGCCAATGCCTATCAATAAAGCTACACCACCAGTTTGTACTCAACATTAAAACCAACATGAAACATCAATCCATTCCCTTATTCCTCTCAGGGCAGACTGTCACCATCCATTCTTTCCTACAGTTGTTAGAGGCCATGTGGCTGGTCCTGCAGCACACAGATAAAGAGAGTAAATTTCCAGAGACCTAAGTGGCTTTGACACTACTTCCCTAGATCTTTTACAATTTGTGGGTAGATGTTAGAAGGACTAAAACAGTTTATATAAAAAGATAAATGAACTTACCACAGCGCCAACTCCATAGCTAGCGGCAGGGGCAAGGGCATGGTAGGGGTCGGCTGTGTATACCCTGCCGTAACTGGAAGAAAGAAGCACAATCAGAGAGCGGCAGTAAGCCTGCGAGCTAAACAAGTCAAGGGTGTGCTGTGTGAAGACGGGTGAGGTACTTCACTTGGACTGCTTTCAGGAAAACTGGCAGAATGGAAAAAACCTTTCTATTTCTTACCCTTGAACTCAATAACTGAAAAATTCTTAAATTCTTCTCTAAAACGGAAAGGAGGGAGTTGGAAATGAGGAAGAGGGAGACTGTAGTTGCAACTCAAGTAGAAAAAGAACCAGAAGGAGTCAGGGGCTCGTGCTTTGGCACACAGAGGCCATGAAAAGTGGGCTGGCAGGAGGCCCGGGAGACAGCACTGCTCTGGAAAGGCGAAGAGGAAGAGGAGGTGGTGCCGTGGCTGGTGCGGTTCCCTCCGGCTCTGTACTTACCCGTCGCTGTAAGCGGCGGCAGCGGCGGCAGCAGCGGTGGCTGCGGTTGCAGTAGCAGGCTGTGCATATCTGTAGGCTGCATATCCACCCTACAGGAGAGAAGAGAACTGACTTTACAGACACCTCTCCCCGGGGCAGGTCCACACACACCCACCCACACGCAGACACACATGTGTAGACACAGGGCAGACACGAACACAGACACACACATGGGAAGGAAATGTTTCAAACTGCATCAGTCTGCATGTTACTGCATGCTTCTCTTTGTGATAGTACCCAAAATAAGGCATACAGGTAGTGTTCATTAATTTAAAAAGATACAGATGTGACTTTGTATCTGCCTTTCTTCTGTCTTTGTTGGAACTTTCAACAGGGAAAATATTCATGGAATGTTGAGAGAACTCCAACTGACAAGAAATGCAAATTATGGAGTTAAAACAAGCTCATCTCTGTGTCAACTTCAGAGTCTGATGCGCACCTGGACTGGTTCATTACTAGGGACCACAGCATAGAACAGAAAGGTCTGACACAAAGCTTGGCTGCATCCGGCCCAGCACATCTGCCAAGAGGCCCAGATGACCAGACAGTGTTTGTTTAGAAGCAAAGAACAGAGTAGATCAGGGTTGGCAAACCTTGCCCTGGGAGCTAATGCAGTTTGTCACCTGTCTTTCAAAGTTCTTGTGACAGAGACTGCATGGCTTAAAAAAACCAAAAATATTTATCTACTACTTGGCCCTTTATAGAAAAAATTGACCAACGACAATCTACATCTCAGACTGGCAAACCAGACCACAAATGGCTGAGGAGCCTTTGGCTGGGTTCCAACAGCTCAGGCGCCATTTCCCCAAGGCCCTTAACTGCATTTATTTCCCCTCTCTAAACCAGGCTTAGATTCCTAGCCTCATGCAGGTGCCTCAAGCCTTCCTTCCAATGGCCCAGAGATCCTCTCAATCCTAAGCAGTTTCAGCCCACCAGAGCCTGAGATTTCTCTTCTGTTTATGTGAACCAAGACTTTCACTGGATGGGGAAACACGGGTTCCTTAAGGATGTATTCAAAGACAATCCCCACAAATGGCCCATGAGACAGGCCACAGTGAAAAGTGGCAAGCCCTGTTTTTCTTTACCCTTTGAGAATTCATCTATTTTTTTACCTAAACCTAATTCAGTTGCAGATTTTTATTATTGCCCTTTTATTGTCAAAAATAGCTGTTAAATTGGTCCACTTGGACACCACTTCAGTAGTGAATAATAGCACAAACATTTTATTCCTGCAGATTAACAGTATACATTTTTCAGGGACATCTGAAACTTTCTACTTTGTGTTCCTTCAAAGGTTCAGATTTTGATCAATCTACAAAAGAAATTTCACATTAACTTCTGTATGGCTCCTTTTGATTAGAGTGAGTGTTTGCTGGCAAGTGTTCCCTTGTTCTTCTTTGCCATCTGATGCAGTCATTTCTACCTTGTTTCATTCTTTCTATCAAATTTTACTTTGGAAATGTCTATGAATTTATGGGCTTCTAAAGCTTTTTGCTTCTGTCTTATATAATTCATGCTTTCTCTAGCTGAAGAAACTGCAAGGTCAGGGAAAATTCACTTTGCTTTTTAAGTTTATGATGTGTGAAGTCACCACCATATATATATTTATATGGTTGAAATCCTAAACTGATTTTCAGTAGTTATGTGTTATTCTTTCTTTATTCTTCCAGTGACTCAGAAAAGTAAATATTTCCTTCTTAATGTCAAAACATTCTATAGATACCCTAAAAATAAGAAAGTTCTAATTAATATTAACAAATACTGACAGTGAAATGGTCCTGGGTGGGGACATGACAGTACCCTATGGGACTATCTGTGACCAAGGGCTCTTTGGAATTCTAGCCAGGTCTCTGAGAATGGGCAGGCAACGACTGATGTGGACAAAGCTAGACACCCTGGCTGTGACAGATAGCTCACTAAGATTTCTTTACTTCTATTTTGAAGCTTCTAAAGAAGACACAAAGCAGTAAAAGCATTTGCTAAAAAAAGCAGAAGTTAATCATCACAGTTGAAATGTTAACTGAACCCTAAAGGCTCAAATGTCGTAACTAGGGATGGTTCCATTAGTTTAGAATTAGAGCTAGTGCTAAGTCTAAAGCAGGGCTACCTTCAGTAAAACTACTTTTTTTTTTTTTTTTGGGGGGGGGTACCAATGCTTAAACTCAGAGGTGCTTAGCCACTGAGCCACATCCCCAGCCCTTTTTAATATTTTATTTTGAGAAAGGGTCTTACTAAGTTGCTGAGGCTGGCTTTGAACTTGCAATCCTCCTGAGCCATTGGGATTATAGGTATGCACCACCATGTCCAGCAGTAAAACTTTTTTTGTAATCAAGGTCAATTTAGCAATATGTGATTTGTCTCTTTAGTATTTCTTCAAACACCAAAATAATCTTTAAAAAATAAAAGCAGTCAAGGCCAGATTCATGCATGAAAGCATTTTTAAAAAGGGGCATACTCCTAGAGCAAAAATAAGGGATACTTATTAAAAAATTCTGAGTGCACATGTGAGGAACTGGGTTTGATCCTCAGCACCACATAAAGATAAATAAATAAAATAAAAAGGTACTATGTCCATCTACAACTGAAAAAATTTTCAAAAAAAAAGAAAGAAAAGAAAAGAAAAAGAAAAAAAGAATTCTGAGGCTCATATGTTTTAGGCCTGACTCCCAGGAAGCAATACTGGAGTGGAAATAATACAGTTATATTCTCTTGATTTTACTAATTCTGGGAAAGAGAGGTTCTAAGGGAGGCTACTGACAGGACAGGTTCCCCTCACATTTTTTCTGGTGTGCAAGAAGCCAGAGACCGTTAGGAGTAATGTCACTGCTAACGAAAACAATTCAGAACAGATCAGACTATGGGAATGAATCTTCCTTTGGATCTAGAAGGAAATGGACAGACTGCATCCGCAGTAGTTTCCTTCTGTGAAACTCTGACTTTGGAGTCTAAATTTCATGAGACTCTCTGTGATTCAAGTTCAGAAAAATAGGACAACAGAAGGCTTGTGAGGAGCATTAGCACTAGGAGAAACTCTGTCCATAGTTTTTTTAAAAAGCATATCATCTGGGCTGGGGCTGTGGCTGTGGCTCAGGAGTAGCGCACTTGCCTGGCATGTGTGAGGCACTGGTTCAATTCTCAGTACCACATATAAATAAATAAAGATCTATCAACAACTTAAATAAATAGATAGATAGATAGATAGATAGATAGAAAGAAAGAAAGAAAACAAAGCACATCATCCTTCATCACGACCACTCTCCTAGAGCCTGTGTGATTACAGCAGGAAGGAGCAGTCCTGCAAAGGAGGGAAAAGTCCCAGCCACCACACTAACAAGGTAACTCACCAGTGACTATTCCCAAATAAGAAAAATTGTGTATCATGGACTTATTCCTCTTAAATACATATTCTTGCTCCAGAGTATGTCTGTTGCTGCTTAAATTGGTCATTCAACAAAATATTTCCCCCAAAATGTAGGGCAAAATCCAGACCTATGTATTTGTAGTCTGGAATTCAGAGTGCATAAAGATTCAGGCCGAGAAGCTGTTTTTCAACTTTCCGTTCTGCCAGCAGATCTGAAGGCTTTATGGAACATGAGAACAAAGTGCAGTTTGAAACACCAAGGTTTTCATTACTATTTCTTAAATTTTTCAAAAAGAACAAGGTGGGAAGGGGGTAGGAGAGAGAGGGTTCAGGCGTGGGGAGGGGATATGGCGCCACATTTATTAATCACATTAAAACTAAGCATGCCAACATCTGGAGCTAAAACAACCAGCAAAATCACCACGTTCAGACTGTGTTGGCTAACTCTATCTATCCCAGCATTCTCTTGGGACAGCGGTTTGCCCTAGGCTCTACCACAAGCTCGGTGAAGTACACAGCCTCAATTACTAGAGCGTGCAGCCACAACGACCTGGTATTACGGAAACAGTCAGTCACCACTGAGTTAACATTCCATACCCTAACGACTGCCCCCCAGCCCAAAGGAAGAGTAAACCTTGCCCACCCTAGCCCTGGCCCACACCACAATGTTAATAATTATAACAAGCAGTAACCCATCTGTTATATCAGAGAAGGGAACAGAGACTCCACTGAGAGATTTAGAGTGAGATGTTAACATTTCTTCAGCTGACTGCACAAACAAACAAACAAAAAAAGAGGAGAAATAATTCATTTGGAGATATGAAGTCATGAATAGCTGATGTGTATTGCTTTTAACCATGCACTGATGCAAAACTGAAGCAACCATTAATAATAAAAATTAAAAAGGACATAATGTATTTACACACAATCAGACCTGTTGGATCTGAAGCAGTTTGCAGATTCTATCTGTGTGTGATTTGAAATAAAACAAAAAATGGGGATTAGCATGGCCACAGCACACCCTGATGTAGGAGGGCACACACAGACAGCTTTTTGGAACTCTGAGATTGTATAAATTTGGCATGGTTAAGCCCGATTCAAATACACTCTTGCCCCTTGAAAAATAATGACTTTCTTTCCCCTTTGCAATTCATTTTGGATGACTCCTGATGTTCCCAATGCTACCTCACTCCCCTTCCAACCTGCCTGACCCTGACAGCATAGTTCGGCCTGGACCCACACACTTGCTTGTATGTTTGTCCTCTATGAACAGACACCTAGTCTGACCCAGTGTTCTCCTAGAATCATTCCTGAACTGAAGAATCTTATTTTTTTTTAACATATTCATAACATATCTTTGTGCCTTCAACTTCTGGCATTTTCAAAGGAAAATGCTGTTGCCTTTAAGATTCTTTTCTGTAATGCCTTCTGAAGCTGTTTAAGCAAAGCCTCAGATTTCCACAGTTCCATGTCACTTCCTCAGGTTTTCTTTTCTACTCTGAATTAGTTTTATCAACTAATTAACCTGACAATGCTGCCACACTGACTGCATGGTTCTTCTGCACAGTTCTGCAGCTGTTTAAACCAGAACAAACCAAATGAGTTCTAAATGTCACCCCTCCTAGACCTGACATCTGTCTGTATACCTTAGTTTCATCTCATGCTGATAAACTTTTGCCTTGTCTTAATTTTAACCCTGCCTTTCATTTTATTACATTTTTGTTTTAGGTTTACATTAAAACAGGACTTTGGTGAGCATGTGATGTCAAGACACCTTCTTTCTACCTGAAAGACAATGACATTATGTGACACTGAGGAGAGTGTGTATTTCAAGACCAGCAGACAAAATGAAAGCTTGTTACCTCCACATACTATCTAGATCAACATAGCAAGGGGTGTGCGTGTGGTGTGGTGGTGGGGACAACAGGTGTAATACTACAAATCACTCCAGCAGAGCAGAGTTCTACTGCAATTGGTGGGAGTTTAATTCTGGGTCTCTGGTAATCATTTCAATTGCCTTAGATGATTCTAACTCCCTCTGTTACCTCACCACCTCCCCTTCCCCTCAGAGAATCACTGTTCTAAGGAACACCCTGAGTTTTTAACGTGGCATCTTTGAGTACATGTGAGTAACAAAGACCAGAAAACACAAATTTATAATAATGGTAACATGGTTACTATTCTTAAGACATCTATCTACTTTGAAAAGTAGATTTAAATTTTATCTTATTATTATTTAAAATTGTGGTTAAAGGGAGAAACTGTGATGATCAACTCAACATCTTCAACTTATAACTTCTATGTTAGATGAGAGATGATTTTTACTGATTGTAAAAAAAAAAAACCTTTCAAATAGTTTTGCTATTCCACGTCTCTCCACATTAGTTCATTTCCAAAATCTCACTGGGCAGCCACATGAATAAAGTAACGGTATTAAGAGCCACTGACTGTACTCCTTCTCCTAGCCCTCGGCTATCAACAGACCTCAGAAGGAGCGTAATTACCCAAATGAACTCGCTCTTCTTCTCCAGGAAAGGACAAGCTACAGGCAAAAGGCAAAGCTTGGCTTTGAGTCCAATCTGTGTAGACTTTTATGTAGTAGCACATGCCGATTACTAGGGTTTCATAACAGGGCCCAACTTGGGATTCAAGTAAGTCCCATTTGGACAAGGTTCTACTTCCTCCCTTTACACATTTCTTTCACAGTCATAAGAAAATGTCCCCAGCTGCTAAGATCTCTAACAAAAAAAGATCAGCTTAAATATCACGGGCAAATGTGATTGACAAACTAAAAAAGGCAGCAGTGATGGGACAGTGCATACAACACACCTGGTGCAGATATGTGGCAATGGGACAGGAGCAGTTAATTTTGGAGGAAGTGCCATTGTGTGTAGATATGACTGTGTGCTCTGCTGAGGTAGCAGGGCTTAGATCACACGCTCACAAGTCTTGATTGTCCAAAAAAGCCTCTGTTCCCATCTCTAACGTGGAGCTGGAATGGTTAGTATAATTCAATTTTTTCACTGCAATCCACAATCTGATTGATTGGCAGGTCACACTGGCACTCCTACCTGAGGTATTTTAGCGCTAATGATTGGTTCCTGTAAGACTATTCTATAACAGAACACAGGAAGAGCAGTTCAAAAAACACAGCTGTGGAAGGAAAACAATCATACAAAAAGCCCACTGTGGGGCCCACCAGCCTTTTCTTTCCTTTGGATGCAAGCATGCTTTTCACAGGATGAGAATTAGAAGCAGTTTGTTATCCCACTTAAAAGGTGAATTAGGGTGAACTATGCCTTTTCTGCTCAGTAAAGAAGAGTGGGGAGGAGTGGACACAATCTGTCTGCCTCTCCCCAGCCCTATCCCGGCAGGTTTCTTTAAAAACTGTGGACACAATTAGTTGATCAGTTCTCTGGAGAGCAGTGTGCCATAAAAGAAACAGAAAGGAAAAAATGGCCACAGGGATCACTAAGAGTGGAAAAGAAAGGGACTTAAAAAACCCTTCAGAATTAATACCATGTAAGCAAATCAGCACCTAAACTCTTCTTTCTTGTGTCTTCTAGGCTCAGTGCACTTTTTAACACAGAGAAACCCTTCCTCCTTTCTATACTATGTGATTTTCTGAGGAAACAAAACTAAATGTGTACTGACAAATTTCCACAGACAAGAAAATGTAAAGAGAGAGCAGAACTCAAGGCATAACAATCATTTCTGTCTGTCTTTAAGAAGCACCCTTTGCCACCTTGCATGAAATCAGCACCACCCACTTCCACAGTTGCAGTTGCCACGGGCCTGACTTCACAGCTGCCTATGACATGCTCTTCTTTCTTGCTAGAGCTTGGATGCCGTCTTAGCACTAGTGACTGACTTTTTTTCCTCCAAGCAAATCTGCTTTAAGATAGGAAGAAAGGAGTAATAATTCAATTTTGCTAAGTACTTTAATTAATAAGGGACCACTAGCAAAAAGAAAAAAAATTCTGACCAGATCACTGAATTACTTGTTTAGCTTCATAAGGTAATCTGGTTAGTAGATTAGGGGGGAAAAAAATCAACTATTTTCTTGACAAGTATAGAATAGTCTCTCTCAATGAAATTCTATATTCTAAACTAAGGAAATGAGAGAACTGTAAACATATATTCAACTGGTGACTTAACAAGGTGAAAGTAGGCAATTCTTACCAAGTCAAAAGGAAGACATTAGGGAGGAAACATGGATTTAAGAAATAACTGAAATGGAAAGGCTTGTTCTACTAGACCAGACCTCAAGAAAACAACATAGAGTTTTACGAGAAGATGGATACTAATGCACATGGGAGAATGTATACATGTTAACATCAGGAGTAAACATGTAATTTGGCCAGATTTCCCCAATTCTCTAGTTTAACTGTGAACATGGGGAAAAAAGATATCTTTCACTACTTCTTATAAATGTTCTGAGGAAAGAAGTAGGTTTTGATTAAAGTACAAAGAGTGGTAATGAAATCTGAATTAGTTGGGTTTTATGCTCAGCTTTATGAATAAATTACGTCATTCTGGGCAAGTTACAAACTAAGAAATGTATCTACGAACTTAGGGGTTTGAACTAAGTCATGGCTAAGTCTCTTAAGCAGCTGCTCCACCAAGGGGCACCAGAGAGGGTGGCCTCATCCCACCTCTACTGCTTGCGGTACAGCCAGTCTCCCAGTGCACTGGTACAGGCATTAGCTTCTTCAGATCACCAGAGAATCTCTGGCAGGCTGCAGAAATAGTTCACTAGAAAAAGGTCAGCTTGTAGGTTTGGGAAGTGAGGGTGAAAGAATGTTCTAGACTATTTTAACATTTCATGCTGGCAAGTTTCTCCCTACACAACTGTTTCCTAATGACTTAGAAACTCAAAAACTTTCACTCTGTCGGCTAGGTCACTTTGTCCATCTTTTAAATAGTATGTGACAAACCAATCATGGAACTTTAGCTATAGTTAGACAGCTTAAATGATGGATTAAGTGTTCTGTGGCTAGAAGAATCAACAAATCTATGAAGTGGTCTCAGGAGAGTCTAGGTTGTTAATTATGCCACTATTTCCCTCTTCTGGATCTTAAGAAAAGACACCTTGTGGTTGTGGCCCTTTGGCCCAAGAAAGGTCAAGCACTGACCACCTGGGCCCCTCTCCCTGCACACTCTTCACTGGCATCAGTCTTAGGTCACTCTCACCAGTGCATGTTCTCTCAAAGTTGTAAATCAGAAAGCACACAGTCCAGAAAGTTTATTGCCATCTATTTAAAAAAAAAAAAAATCAAAGCTCTAATGATCTAAAGAGAGATGTGAAATGAGGAGAAAAGCAGAAAAGGTAAACAGGCTAAGCTAGTCCTATTATTTATGTATGCAAATGATACGGCAGTAATAAGACTTTAAACCTGCTGATCATCTCAACAATAAATCAGAGATATACAGAACATCGTGGGTTTAGGGAAGGGAAAAGAATATGTCCAGTAGACTGACCCTGGCAATGATCAGGGAACCCAAAGGCTCAGGTTTTGCACCCAGGGGCAAGCGCAGTGGCAGAGAAGCATGCTTGCATTCTTAAATATATAAATATATATATATATATATCTCCACAAGGAAAAAGGAACTAAAAATTAAACAAATTATATTAAAAAAAAAAAAAAAAAAAACCAAACCAAACCAAACCAAAGAAACAGAAAAAAAAAGGCTGGCTTGTCAGGGGATGGGGTCGAGAAGGCCCCAGTGTGTGTACTTACATAGAGGTCAGCACCGTAAAATCCGTCCTGGTAAACCACACTGCAGAAAATCCACACAAAAACAAAAACAAAAAAACAAAAGAACAGAAACACATTCCGGTTATTGAGGACGGCAGCATGCACATGCGCTCTACACAGGCAGGTGATGTATGAATACGTAAACTGGGCTTGGGCCATGGCAAATCAGTGAGAAAAACAGAAAGTGCACACGCTCATCATACAGCTCCAGGAAGCGAGGGGAGACAAAGGCATGCCAGTTGGAATGAGCTACTGGTTGCGGGATACCAGTAAGCAGCACTCTCAGGACAGCTTGCTGTAGCTATTCAAATTCCCTGGATTGGAACCATCAATCTTTTGTATCTGCAGTATTTTTTAAAATAAGTTTGCCCCAGGAGAAAGTTTTTCTTTAAAGGGCTTACAAAGGGGGATAGGAGTGAAGAGGGGTTTAACATGAAAAAAGTGAACCCAAAGAATTCCATCAGGGAATGTTTCAAAATTATGTTTAGTATTTTGTTTTCAGTTCTGTAGTAAAATATAATTTTTTTCTGCTATCCATACATCACCTGCTTTTTACCCTGCACATTAGACATGCGATAAGATTTGGCTGATCACACAAGCATGCAAAGTATTATTATTCAGCATTTTTAAGAACCAATGCAACACCTCAGAAAAACAAGTCAATCAATTCTGACCAAAGTAAACAGAGAAATGTAATTAAAAAAAAAAAAAGAAAAAAGAAAAAAACAACCAAAAATACCCACAATGCATTGCTTTCACAAGCAGAGATAATGAGCTAAAGGTTAAGGTGATTGGTCCAAGGTCCAAGAATTGAAAGGTGCAGTGGGGATCCCAGATAGTAACAATATAATCCAGAGTGGGAAGGAGTAACTGGAAGATTTTAAGGGTTTCTTTTTGACCATAAAAATATGCATGGAGTTCTGAAAAATATAATTGATAACTGAAGTTCTGGGCATGACCAAGGATCATCCTGTCTTATTTAAAAGAATAAAACTGAGATGGTGGCTAGTTAGGAATAGAAGGGGCTATTTTCCTGTTTAGATAATGAATTTGTATCAAACAAATTTCATTTTTTCTTAAAAAAACAAAAGACCCTGGAGAACCACTACATTATTATTCTGAATTGTAGATTTCCATTCTTTTAAGGGTTTTTTTGCATATACAGACTTCCCCAAAAACATTATTTTGGGACCAAAAGGCATGAAACAGCAGTAGAGATAAAAGATATTTTTCTTCATATTTGTTAGATCAAGATTTGGCTGTTTAAATTAGACGATCTGTTTTTTTTTTTTTTGGGGGGGGGGGGATACCAGGATTGAATCCAGGAGCATTCTTGGGCACATTCCCAGCCCTATTTTGTATTTTATTTGAGACAGGGTCTCATTGAGTTGCTTAGCATTTCACTTTTGCTGAGGCTGGCTTTGAACTCATGATCCTCCTGTCTTGGCCTCCTGAGTGCTGGGATTACATGTATGTGTCACCGCTCCGGGAGAAATGGGAATTTTTACTACTATTTTCTGCTGTAATAAACAAGCTGGCAAGTAGGGGCATGAAATCATATTTTTAATTTAAAGATGAAGTGACCTATTTCTTGTAGGTGGCTGAAAAGTGTCTTGACTTTCACTTCCAATGACCTTTTGTTGCCTTTACAGGGCACTGTGGTCACACTCTGCAGTGTCCCAGATACGTTATGCCTTTGTACTATATAAAAGGCAAACCACACTCTTCTCTGATGGTCATTTACCCAAGTCCTTTCTGTTTTCATAGTCTTCAGCTGCAGTTAAGGCTCATATTAGAGAGTCATCTGCCTCTCCATTACATTTTAGTAAGAAAGACTTGTCTCTTAATGAAAGCTGATAAAATGGAATGCACTGAAGTCAAGTGCTGACTAGTTAACCTTCAGCAATTTCAGGAAGGGGATATAGGCAAAGATTAAAAACATTCCTTCTAGAGGAGAGTATTGACAATAAAAACAAAATGTATTTTGCCCTGCATCAAATGCCTTAATGGGAATATTCACCTAAATTCTGGAAGGATTCCAATATTCCCTGTATCAAATGCCACAAGGAGGCGAGAACACAATGATTAATGATGGAGTTAGTTTTCTAAGCTGAAAAGCAATTCTAGGCCATTCCCCATAAAATACTGGACTTATTCCTTGCCATCTTCCATGTAAACAGGTGGTTTAGTTAATAAAAAAGAAAACATGGGAAATTAGTGTTCAATGTAATGCACAGAAATTGAGGTGATTAGACATAAAAGATAAAAATACCTTTGATCAAATATATACCTGAAATAAACTTGGTAGAGAATGGGCTCTCAAGTTTGGTCAATATACTGAAATGACCTACATTGAACAGTAATGAATTCCAACCACTTAATAAAGGAACTCAGGAAGGTTACAAAATAAGAAAATCCCATGTTTCTCTGAGTAGTCTCTCTTTGCAAACATGACAATAAACATTTTTGAATTGAAATGGAAGGCACTTCATGGACAAATTTTCCTAGTGTGCAAAACGTTCAAAAAAACTTATTTTATTTTCATTTGCATGTTTCTTGATGAAACAATACTGTATCATTATTCACTTCTTTAAAAGAGATGTCAGAGGTTGAAGGTCAAAGGTCAAGTTGCGAGAAAAAAGGATAAAATTAAAAGTCATGGCAGAAGATGGAGATGATGGAATGCATGGGATTTAAACATCTATAAGTTGCAAACAAAAGTTAATTTCTGTAGCAGTTCCCTTCCAGTGTTTTTTGGAGCCTGCCCACTTCAACATGCATACTTGCCTGGTCTAATAAAAGTGCTTTAATTCTGTGGCATGGAGGACTCCTAATGGTATGTCCATTTGGTCTATGAATGAATGAATGTTAAATTAGTACACCTCCCGGTGAAGCCAATTTTGCTATCAGAAAGGACATACAAAGGAGGCTCTTTCCCTTTACATTTTAACTAAGTAGCGGCTAACTGGCTTCTCTGCCACTAGTTATTTCTCCATAAGAATACAGAAAAAAACCTGTCACAGGCAGAGAAAAGATGAAGAAGAGAAATGTCACATCTTTGAAGAGAGAAAGTCCTTGGTACAACTAACTTATAAAAAGTCCACTCTTTATATAAAAATATACATTTTAGGCTGACACAGAGAAACAACTAAAAACAAACCTACCATCTTCACTCCTTCTCCCCATTCAATAGCAAAGGATTTATTTGTTGCTATGGAATCATTCCACTGCATGAGGCACCCTCCATGCAAAACCAAAGGGTGAAGGGTGCTCAGCTGCAGCAGCTGTTTTACATCCTTCAGAAGCCAATCCTCCTACTTCTCCCTTCCTCCCTTGATTCAATTGGACTTGGTTCATCTTTGAATTAACCTCTTTTAATCCATTTCCTACAAAGAAAGCAAATCCATTGTGGGTAACTAGCTCTGCTGCTCACCACCCAGGCAGTGAAATCACGGGGAGGCACATGTGCCAGCCTCTGCCCCAACAGGGTGGTGTACCCAGCAGAGGTGGTCTGGACTACGACCCCCAGCTCCTCTCTTGTTCTCTGCAGTAGTGTTAATCCACACTCGTGCGCTGCTGTGTGAGCTCCATGCCAACACACTGCTAGTAAACAGACGGTTCTGGCTACTGTCTTAAGCTCTTACCATGAAGGCTTAAGGTGGCCCAAATAAGATTTATATAACAAATTGACATTTTGTTACATTCTGATGATGGTACATTTTGGTTTCCATCTAATCCATTAATTTGAAAATATTCAGACTAAGTGGCACGGTAATGTCCCAGAAGTTATGAGAGGGCCATGATTCCTTATTTGTCCAATTGCTTATTTCAGAAACACACTGACTTTGGAATCTAATGCTTACCCTGGATAGGCGGGGATGGCTGTTGGAGGTACCGCTCGGACTGCACCATATACTGTCCGCCCTCTGCCCCTCAGATGGGCTCCTCTGAAAGCGGCTGCCGTGGTGGCTGCAGTTGGGTAAGGGAAGCCAGGAACTAAAGGGAGACCCAAAATATGACAGAAATTTCAACTTGCATTCAACAGTAGGTATATAGTCACAATGTGCTGTAAACCAGTTATAGAAAAGCTGACAAGATAGGTAGCACATCCTTCCTGAAAAGATGTCACACAGATTATTCCACCCATCTCCCACCCGGGATCTCTGAGCAGGAAAGAAATGACAACATGTATAAGTGAGTGATTTCATGCCTTACTCTTCCCAGCCCTTGAGTGATTTACTCTGCTCCTTCCCAATTCTGCTATTATACCATGAGCTGGTGAGATATGGGCCAAGGAGCTCTGAGAACTACTGCCCTAATACGAGATAAGACTTCTAACTTCTGTGGGCAGTGCAAATCAGACTGATAGAAATTCTTTAGTTGGCCAGTTATTAATCTTGTTTCCAAATATTACTATGTGGATATAATAATGATTTCTCAAAAGAATGTTATTTTTGTATTTTTACATGTTGTCAGCCTCCAATGCACACAGTAGACTTTAGACATTTCCTTCGTCAGTTTCATCCCTTTATCTAACATGTTGTAATCCAGCAATGAAGGTGAGAGGGAAACCACTCCTCCCCCATTGCCCTGTATCCTCTTAAGAGGTGGATGTTCACACAGGCCTATTTTAAACTGCACAGATATGTGGCTTCCGCATCCACTGAATCCTGTTTAATTATACCTCTGCTAGAGGACAGGCTTGGGTAGAAGGGGTTCTAGGGACTTCAAGAGAGCTGGAATGTCAGTGATGCTGGAGGTGCTCTGAAGTGACCCTCCACTGGAGAGCAGGGCAGACTATTGGAGGCATGGAGAACAACCTCCACACCACACATGGCTTTTGTTTTCTTTGTCATCAAGTACAGACTAGAATATTCTTCACATGCCTTTACCCCCTCTACCTTATTCATCTGTTTTTGTTTTGTGGAAATCTTAATATGTGGTCAGGAAGATTCCAGCATACGTTGAACAGAACAGGGCATTGTGATTGTACTTATTACCCCTCTTGAGAACGCTTCTCTTTCAGTTGTGTATTATAGTAGGATAAACAAAACAAAATAAACAAACCAAACAAGCACATCACTGTTCAGTCACAACAGTTACAATCATGCCAGGCCAACATAGGCTACTTACTGATTAAAGGAATGTAAGTGTTGATACCCCCTCTTCCTGACAGGGGCACTGCTGCATCATTGCCGAGGGACACATCTGCTTGAAAGCTGGATGCTGATGGCATTTAAAAGAATTTTTTTTTAAAAAAGCAAGAAGATTACAAAGGAACAGCACATTGAAAATCCACAGATGTTGCTACAGTTAAATAGCACGCAAGGAAATATTATAATGTCAATTCTACCTGCATATAACTCAGGGCCGTACACAGCTCCAACTACTGGGCTTAATTTCCAACCTGAAATGAAAAAAAAGAGCAGTGAGCTTTAAGCTACGTGAGGAAAAGGAGTGATTAATTCATGTCAGTTGGCTTTGGACGTCTCTGGGCTCATTTGTGCCTATAATTAACTCCTTCAGAACCTAGCCACCTCTGGGTCTACCTGAGAGCAGGGTGGTACTCTTTAAGCAGGACTAGCACAGCTAAAGGGATAATGAGGGGTTGCAGAGATGGAGGCAGGGCATCGGGGAGAGAGGGGAAGAGAAAGAAATTAGGAAGGAGGGAGGGAGATGAAAAGGGAGAGAGGATAAAGGGGGAGAAATAACCTCTGGGTTTTGGTGGGTGCTTTCACAGCACCACCTGGGCGACCTACTCTTAGTTTAGGAAAAGGAAAGAAGGCAGAACACGAGCTATTCTGCACTACTTGGTGATGTGCATTCTTTAACACTGTTTACTACTATGGCTCTTTATAAAGGTATCCTCTGAGTGAATTCAAATTTGACTTGGATTTTTGATCCCATGTTCAATTATACCATACTGGTTTTCTGAGGAAACTGAAATTCCCTTTCATCAGGATTCACTGTTGGGATTTTACTGGAGTTCGCTAAGTAAAAGAGGAAAGTCATGAAATAATAAAATTGAAGGTACATTCCCAAATTCTCTGTGTGGCTTCTGAGGTCTTTATTTATAATGAACATATTTAAGTTAATCACACCAAGAACACCACCAGACTGCTACTGACTGTGAGCTTCAACATTTATAAATGTTGTGTTTCCAAAGAATATTGTTTCATGTCAATTTTATTTCTTTTGCCCCTTTTACATTTACAAGAACATAGCAAGGGCTAAAAACATAAAATGATATTACTGCCCACTGACAGTGAATGAGTACATTCCATGTGAAAACCTTAATAAATATTTATTGAATTTTGTACTTGATAAGCAAAGATATCCTATTATTTTTCTGAAAGGCTGGCTCTTCTATTAATTTCTTTCCTAGCACTGTGCCACTGCTACCGTTAACATATATGAATGAAGAGGATAAAACGTCAATTCTAATGATCTTAACAGATCTTTTTATTAAACATTTTTTGAATCTATTTTTTTTAGTTGTTGATAGACTTTTATTTTATTCAGTTATATGAGGTGCTAAGAATTGAACCCAGTGCCTACACATGCCAGGCAAGTACTCTACTGCTGAAACACAACTCCAGCCCCTGACCTTAACAGATCTTAACAGCTATAAGCAAAACTATAAGTAAAGAGAAAATCCACTACTTCTCAATCACTCCAGCCTCCCATTCTGATGAAGGTGCTGATTTGTGTGCTATAATGATAGCCCCATGAGTCCTTGTGAAATCTGGGTGAAACCCAGATTCAAATGCTACTTGAGTTTTAAGAGCATGTATGATCTGCACTGTCAAAGTTTGTAAGTTGCACAGCCACTGAGCAAATGTTTCTGCACAAATTAAGTAATTCAAACCAACACAAGTGAAAATGCTCCTTGAGAATTCACTCAGCACACTCTTCTTAGGGCCTTAAGCAGAAGTTTTCTTGAACTTAGGCTTGAATATTAAATTAGAATAACATCTAAAGGATGAAATTTTCTTTCCTACTAGTGACACTATTTCCTGAGATTTCCTTTATGTCCATAAAATGGGTGGAGGTTGATATGTTGCTAATAATACTTTAGGTATGTTTAGTTTTGTACAATTTACAGTGTATTTTCACAGAAGACATGTGACCTTCACAAAATCCAAATAGGAATATAAGTACCACATGTGACCTTGGGTAAGTACTCTACTTGTCTGGCCTTATTTCCTAAATAATAAGCTTAGAGAATTGGCTTTTGATGTTTTCTAAAGCATCTTCTAAAATTCTGTGGATGCCAATATATAGATGTAAAAATAGAATCAGGTTAAGAAACTGACCCATTGTCATAGAGTGATATGTAGAGGCAAATTCAGAAGTAAAATTTCTGTCTTCTCAAATTCCATGAGGGGCTATTTTCTGTCACATCATTTTCTCTGGATCTAAAGAAAATTTGACATGCTCTGCCTCTCTTTCCTATTTTGCTTATGTTGGGTTTTTTACCAAAATTGCACAAACCTGTTTTTGTAATAACCATAAAAATAAGAAAACTAGAGGTTAAGTGGGAGGCAGTGATATGCCTCGGATGATGCCACTGATAAATGGGTAAAGAAAATGGAAATTATGTGGATAAATTTGTATTTGTTGTAAAAAAACTGGGTTCGATATATCTAGTAAAGACTGTAGGGGATATATATATAGTCAATATTAATATTTCTACCTGACTTAAGGTTTTACTAGCACCTAAGGTCATGCTCTAGAACATGAGGCTCCAACTTTCTTAAAAACCAGCAAAAACCTTCCCTTTTATCAACATAATATATATAAAAAAATACAACAGAGAATGAGTAATCTCTTAGATCAAAGCAGAGCTGGAGGACTGGAGGACAGCTCAGTGGTTAGATGCCTGCTTGGTACACATGAGGTCCTGGGTTTGACCCCATGTAACACCAGAAAAATGAAAAAGCAGAACTGTAGACCTCAGGATCCAGGAGCCAACCCATTTGATTTTACCTTTATTGTCCCCCAATCTGACTCTGTAGGACAGTTTGCAATACTGCGTGGTATTATAGATTAAAATTATATTGCATCCCATTTAGAGAACAGGAATCTAGATTAAATTTGACAACTGACATGAAACTTTTGTTTTTATTAGAATAATTATTCATAGAAAATTTCCTTCTCAATGAGAAATATTTAAGTTTACTATATAGCTTATAATCATGGGATAGAAAATGGCACATTTCCCTAACTAGGGCAGTTACTGCTAGGCCCTAGGGAAGCAGGAGTCTAGAAATACAAGTGATTAAATACACTATCCTTTCAGCTTACCCCACTCAAGATCATCTAAGGAGAAAGCATCTGAGGGCTTCGGGGCTTTATTGACAAGTCTAACATATCACAGAGAACTACAGTGGCTGAAAGAGGGTGCTTCAGGGAACCTCAACTGAGTTGACAGGCAATCGCAAATGGCATGTTTTTACAAGATGAACATTACTGAGAAGAAAACACCTTAATAAACCAAAAGCTTAGCTAATTCTAAGGAAAAAGTTAATGTGCAAAGATTAATGTAAGTTAAATGCACTGTCTTAAGACTAAAATATAGGATTATTAAAAAGTTCATATATTCATGCAAAAATAAACAACATCCTTCAAAAAATAATTTTTAGTTTCTTACCATTTGCATATGGTGTGACCATTTTCTTATTAGTCATTACACGTGCTGTAGCATTATTCACCTAAAAATGCAAGCAGAAAGAAGGGGCAGGGAGGAAGGGCCCACATTAGGGAACTTGAAATTGCTCATCCAATAACACAGTACTTAATTCAAAATGGAAATAAACTTGATAGCATTAATTTAGATGAATAATATAGCCATATAATATTAATATATAGAATTTTAATAAGTGCTTATTAAATGAGGCTAACAAGAGTAAAATGCAGTTTCTTAGTCTCCACGTGGAAAACTGAGGTTACTATATCAGTACTCCAAAGAAAAAATACATTTTAAATTCTTGGGAGATCCTTAAACAGAAGTTTCTCCATTAAGGAAAACATGGGAAAAAACAGGGAACAACTATATGTACAAATGAACTCTGAAGTTGATTAATAAAATGGAGGCTTGCCACCTGATTCATGAAGTAGATTTATAGGGAGATTATAAACTGGATCTATTGATTTCACTTGTCTTAACGTTCTGCATTTTTTGATGTTTGTTTAAGATTTTACTGTCAGAAGATAGTAAAAAAATATAGGAACTTAAATGCCCATGTGGGCAGCCTTCAGGGCCATCTGAATTTTCTAGACTACATGGTCTATTCATTTAAGAATGAAGTTTTCAGAAGGCCTTTAAAGTTGGCACTTTCAAGAATTGTGAAAATAAAGTGTTCACTGCTTTTCTTTTATGGTACCCTCTATCCTCATTACAGAACTGTATCATTTCAATGAAGCACTCTTAGTGCCACGACAAGTAGATGTCACAAGGATGGTGCTGCTGGAGAGATGAATGAACTTAGGTGCAAGAGACCCGGGTCAGGATCAACCTGAAAGCTCTTGCAAGGAGGGTAAAGCCTCACCACAGAACTTGATTAAATGACTGTCAGGTCATGCCAATTTTAATAGGAATTATAAATGTAAGCATGTCTTATTTTGTCTGCGGACTGTACATTGTGTTAAATTTGTGTTACAAAAAGGCCAATTTTAGGTAGAATTGGAATTTTAAAAAATCCTAACGTGTCATATGATTTGTACAGTAATCCAACTGCAGTTACTCTAGTTTGACCCCCAGATAATAGAAACATTTCACATTTACAAAGAAAGAATGGGAAACAACAATGATGAGACTGAGTGCATGCAGTTAACACACACACACACAAATAATAGAAAGAAAGAAAAAAAATCAGTCTGGGGAAGAAGGGAGGAAAGGCAGAGCTGGGTTAAATGAGCAGGAGCTTGCACCAGCTGCTAGAGCGGAATGCAACCAAGCACTGAGATGAAAAGTCGCTACAGCCAGTCAGAAACTACCAGTCAGCAAAAGAATCAAGAGCTCCGTGGAGCAGAGAAGGGAGGGGTAGGAAGAATTAAGGAGAATTTGGGTAAAGAGAACAATGAGGTAGGGAAAAAGAAAAGAGAAAGTCAGGAAGGGTGTCCCAGGAAGGAAAAGAGCAGTCAAGGGCAAAGAAAGAGTTACACAGTCAGAGCCCCAAACAGTGGTTTGGGAAAGAGGAAAAGTAGAAAGGAAGTAGGGGCAGGAAGTGCATTAATAAAACTAGCCAAACTGGAGTTCAGTGACTCTGAGAAAGGTGTGCAAGGGGAAAAATCACCATGAAGTCAGTAACCAAACAGCTCAGACAGCTACAAAACAATATGTACATTCAAAGTCCAGGCGGCATTACTCAACAGCAGTGACAATAAAAGGGGGAAAGGAAAGGAAGGGGAACAAGTCAAATCACATTTTGTAGTGTTAATGTGAGATGGCAGATGGACTTTTTATTTCTTAATTGTTTTGTAATTACATTTTTAAAAGCTTCTTCTCTAGTGCTTGTTTCACTTACCGCCAACGGGCACCATCGCCAGCATTGTGTATAGTTACCATGGAAAGAGTGAGTCAAGTGAAGGGCCCTAAATGCTAAACCATTGGAAAGGGGGGAAAAAAGCAAATATGCAGACATCTTACTCAAATGGTGGCTTTTATATTTAATACTTTAAAAATTGGGAAAGGGGAAAGGAGCCAGTTAACCTTCAATGCGTTATAATGAAGGGCTGGGGAGCCTGGTGGCTGATGCAAGCCAACCACAGTGCGTCAGCCAGCCTGCAAACCCTCCTTTGAGGATGTTATTCGCAAAACGTAAGAATCAACGGTTGAAATTCTTGGCATTAAATATATTTAAAACTACATGAGTTTTGGGTTCTCTCCTCCCTCCCCACAGCCTCTAAAATCTTCTATTCTGTGCTAATTGCACACACATGGAGGCAAACTGGCCTCCCAAGAGAAAAAAAGATATTGGCTGGCCCCTTGATTCATCACAGACCCCAATTATAAATTGGATATTCTTAGATATCTTTAAAGTTAGTTTGTTTAGGCCTGATTGTGGAGTACTGCAAACTGAAGCAAAGGAAAAAAAAAAAAAAAAAAAAGAGAGAAGAAAAAGAAAAAAATTTGGGAAAAAAAAAAAAAAAAGAAAAACACACACACACACACACACACAAAAAAAAAAAACCCCCCCACCAAAAAAAAAAAAAAAAAAAAAAAAGTGGGGGTGGCAGAGGCAGACAGAAAGTGTTATTTTTATACATTTTAGTGCAGGAGGTGAAGAGCACAGAAAACACACATACACGTGGGCATATGCGCGCGCGCGCGCGCACACACACACACACACACACACACAACAAACAAGACAGGGTTCCAAATGTGAAATAAGTGAGGCAATACAAAAAGAGAGAAGTAAAAATAGAAACCAGAAATTGAATTATTGAAGACATGCACCTCGATTTTACGGCCCTCTACCACGGTGCCGTGTAATTTCTCCCTGGCCCTGTCTGCATCAGCACTATTCTCGAAAGTTACGAACCCGAATCCCTGCATGCAGCGGGAGAAGGGGGAAAACATGCACATCGTTATATTGAAATACTGATCTGGTGGTAAACAGAGAAAAAATATCACAGTATGAAACTGACATCAGCAACAACTCAGCAATACTCTCCCAGAGTCACATTTTTTTTGGTCCATGCATATTTTGTAAAGAGAAATTAAACCCAATAAAAGAATAAATAACTACAATAACAATGGTAATTTAATTAACATTAATAATAATAAAATATAAAGCATATGAGGCCAGACCAAAATTAAGGTATAGAGTTACTCGGGTCATGCAATTCAACCAAGAATCTGAACATTTTTTAATGTTCTACCTTTCTCCCTCAACTCATGCTGCTAGTGTATATGTCCCCTATATATTAAAAAAAAATTAAATTGATTCTCTAATATCCCAAATCCATCATTCTCCAGTAACGGCTATACGAAATCTGACATTCAAGATTAATCATTGTATGAGATTTTTTAGGAGGTCTAAGTGTCTAAGCCCCATACTGCCTGTTACTTATATCACTATGAATGCCTTTGGGAACAGAATAATTTAAGATAGAGTCTTGAGGTAGAATTTTATAGATATTAGGTGCAGAAAAGGAGAGTACTCATGCTCTTCTCAGCAAATGAAAATATCACTAAGCAATGGTCAATTATGATTTTTCTTCATTGCCAATTTTAAATGGTTGAATAGGCACTTTATATAAAACTATATCCAGTTGAATTTCAGAAAGTTGCTAACACAAATTTGCCTAAATAATACATCTGTTGATATCTATACCTGTTATTAAGCATATTAGAAATTTTCCACATGTAGAGAAAAAAGAAATAGTCAGTGGGAATGAGATCTCATTAGTAACATGAGATATGTTATATTCAGAATATTCAATATTCAATTACACTCAGTAGGAAAAGAACAACCTAAGACAACAACATGACTGCTGCTATGAGTTTAGGATTAACTTATTTGTCCCTTGAGATGCTACAAAATAGGAGCACACCCTTACTTAGTGAGGTAGACAAATCAGGAGAACAGGGAGAAAAGCCCTCTCCTCTGTGCACACCATTGTGCTCTTCATTTCAACACCAACAGGATCTGCTAGACGCCTGCATGACGACTAAGCCAGCATCACATCACCTTTAACTCTAGGTGCTTTGTCCTCATCTTTCCATTCTGCAAATACAATTTTCCAAATAATCTCTCAAGCTATTTACATGTGTAGAGTAGAAAATCAGTAGGATTTTTCTGGAAAGTATCATTCCAATAGCTTCAGTGTCCTCTTTTTTTTTTTTTTTTTTTTTTTTTTTAATATTCCATTGTGGGATAACTGAAAGCCCTTTAGTTTTACTGAGGTTCTGCCTTGCTGAGCATTCCTTTATACACGAAACATGGTCTTCACTAAGGTGGTAAACAGTATGTGTTGCATCTTTAAAAAATGATTTTACAGGGGCTAGGGCTGTGGTTTAGCGACAGTGCACTTGCCTGGCATGTGTGAGGCACTGGGTCTGATTCTCAGCACCGCAAATAAATAAATAAATGTTTATCAACAATTAAAAATATATTTAAAAAATGATTTTACAGAAGCAACTCCATTTTGAAAGATCTGTCTACTAAGTATTCTAAATGTTATTATGTTTATATAAATTTGTTGGAAATACCAGTGAGAACATATTTTCAGAAACAAAATTTTGAGAAACATGTGTTATAGCCTTATATATTCAAGGGCAAGTTAGTATTTAAGGTCCCAGTGGTCACCTACATTAGCATCTGCTGATAAAAAAAAAAAGCCCCCCAGCTCTCCAATCCCAGAGAACCCTTTAGTAGGGAAGGTAAGCCCTTTAAGAAAGGTCATGGATGGGGATGTATTTTTTATATTACACTCAGAAAGCATTATAATTTGTATTCCAACTCATTCTTGCAGTCATAAAAGTTAATACTTGAGTTAAATTAATAAATTACAAATAGGTAAGTTACTGTGAGTTTATGTGGAGACTAACACCTACGTGTTTAACATTGTAATTGTCTACATATATCATATACACACATAAAGACCATACATACTTCATTTTGAAGGTAAAGAAGCTGAGTCAAAATGAGATGAAGTACCCAAGAATATACAGCTATTGTGAGGAAATCAGAAATTAAGCTTTGCAAATCTAAATGCAAAATTCTATTTACTAAGTTACATTGGTCTGAAAACACCCCTCCCACCCACCTAATCTAATCGTGGAATGTCTTCTATAATCTTCCTTTCTGGAATGTGTTGATGAAAGGAACATCAGTGACACAGTAATTGCACCCGAAAGAATGGAGGATGATATTTGGTCAGCAAATGACCAACTTTAACATTAATGTCTGTTTATATAAGGTTTTCTCAATAATTATTTTATTCAGGAACCAAATTGCCTTTTCAAATGTTTTTAAAAGTGTTTTATAAAGAATGGTGCTTATACACCAAAAGAGATGTTAATCAAGACACCAAAGACATAAAGCAATCTTTGCAGCTATCTTTTCCTTGGGTGACAGGAGGGAGAAGGTCTGGGTGATGCTCTGGAATTTTCTGACATGAAACACAGAAGTAAAAGGATGTCTTTCTTTCTTCTGAAGAGAAATAAACCCTGTGGTAGGCAGAATAATGGCCCCCAAAGTTATCCATGTTCTAATCCCTGAAACTGGAAAATATATCCCCTTACTTGTTGAAAGGGATTTTCATCAATGTGATTAGATTAATGATCTTGAGATAGGAAGATTACTCTGGATGATCCCGATAGGCCCAGTGTAAATCCCCAGGTACTCATCAATGAAAACAGAAAGCAGGAGACTCAGACTTGGATTGTAGCAGCCTAGAGAGACTTGACTGCCCTCGGTTAGCCTCAGACACACAAGGAGGCTCCAGCCCAAGGAAAATGGGATCCTCCTGGGCTCAAAAAGGCAAGGACACATCACCCTGAGGAATGCCACATCTTGATTTCAGACTAGCAAGACCTGCTCCAGACTTCTGACCTCCAGAACTGTTAAGATAATAAATGTGTGGCTTTCAGCCACAAAATCTGTGACAATTTGTTCAGAAACATAGGAATTGATGCATACCACTGAAAATTAAAATCCAACACCAGGAATGTGAGAGGTTTAACTAGCATTTTTAGATTATTGTTCTTAAACACTTTTTTTCATGTTGAAACTTTAAAATTTAGCATTTTAGAAGAGGTGCCAGGAACTATGCTAAGGACAATCATAGTTTATCCAAGCATAAAATTACTCACAGAGGGCTGGGCTTGTGGCTCAGTGGTAGAGTGCTTGCCTAGCATGCTGGGTTCTATTCCCAGAACCAAGAGTGAGGGGGAGTTACTCATGTAAGTAAGTCTGCTTACATGAAATTGTGTCTTTGCATGCCTTCATTCTTAGAAATCTAATTGACATTAAGTTTGGTCATTCTAATCTCTTGCTTTAGAAGATAAGTTATAAAATAATGTCTAAAACTAACACATTTTTTTTCTAACACATTTTTCTTAAACAGCTTCAAATAGTCACACAACATATCAAACATTGAAACGTTAAAAACCAATCTGCACAGGTATATAACAAATAGGTTAAATAATCTGTAACAAATAGATTTAATCTCAGACTCTTGACAAGAGTAACTATTTCAGATATGGAAGGAAATGAAGAATTTTCATCCAAACTCTCACTAATAAAAACCAATAAATAAAAAGTAAACTTTTTTAATAATAATACAAAAAGATGTTGGCACATTTGTCTATACAAGTACTGACACATATAATTTTAAATTTTCTTAAAGTGACATACAAATAATATAAGCTGGAAAAATTAGTTTTAATAGAGTATTTACTTAGCCTAATATGTACAATGTATTATCATTTCAGTATGGCAACAATATAAAAACATTATTTGTGAGGTCCTTAACATTCTTTTTTTTTGTGCTACATCTTTGAAACCCAGCGTGGACTTAAGAGCACATCTCAGTTGGACCGCCATTCCCAATGCATGACCTGGGTGAGCAGGTCTGCACATTCTTGCTAAAGTTCTCAGTTCTGTAAGTCTATGTTAACAATTCTATATTCATGATTTAAACACACCAGTGTTACATTAGGGATTTACAGAGATCCTGGATGTCTGAAGGAAATCAAGGAATGGATTATTAGGGTATGGCTGTGGTTAAAACCTCTAATGAGTGGGACAGCAATTTCATCACCTGCCTTGACATCCATTTATCATCAAGGACATTATAGTAGCCGAGTAACTGTCACCTTTTTAGTCTGGCCTCAGGCTGCAATAAATAACAAGCAATAGGATGAGCATTGGAAACATATTTTTAACTTGTATAATCTTTGAATTTTTCCATCTCAGAAGAATGAGAAAGAAAATTTACCATGTAACTTTTAAGGGAGAAATCAAAAGCAGACGGATCTCCTGGGTATGGCCAGAACACAGAAATTAAAAAATAAATAAAATAAAAATAAAAATAAAACCCATAAAATGGAAACAAAAGGAAAGTAAACTAAGTCCTTTGGAAATAACATGCACTGTTAATTCAGTTTCAAGTATAACGGAAAACATTTCACATTAGCATTACCTGTCAATTTTGCTGAAAATCACAAAGGTCTACTTAGCACAACTTCAAAAACAGTGTATCAACCACAGTTTGAAAGAAATAACTAATTTCCCTTGGCATGAAATCAGAACCCAGGGTAATAGGCAAGAAATTACAGCACATTACTTGTGTTTGAGATCCTAATAGCCTTAACTGAAGCCCAATCTAATTCCAGATCTCATGGCCAGAAATCCATCTGAGAGAATCAATGAGAACATTTTCATCAAAACTCGCTGGAAATATCAGTAACCGTTGCTGTGCTCTCTAAGTTGGGACCTAATGATCAACACTGTGTAAAGAGGTGAAGAACTGCCATTTCTTTATTTAGTAAACTTGGTAAATATTGTCAAAATTGTGAGGTGGCTGGGTGATAGTAAGCAGAAGGGTGGAAATCTTGGGTTCAACAATGGAATCAACCTCTGAAAGGTAAAAATAAAAAATTCTTAGTCATTAAAAGACTCTAGCAAAGAACTGCAAGATCAAGAATACTGGGGTTGAATGACGTTACTTAGGGTGCTGTTTAAGATTCTTTATGAGACAAAAGACTGGACCAAAGTATATGAGAACAGCCCCTGGCAGTCTCTTTAGTGAACTACATGTTTTTCTTTCTACTTTGCATTAAGGGACATGTTTAATTTTAAAAGAATGCTTTTTAAGTTGCTAATCCAAGGATCTACTAGGAGAGTGACATCATAGTTTATGGTTCAAACAGCTATTCTGTGGGAACAGGGGGAATTATTATTAATAATGTGTTAAGACAACAGGTGTGAAGTGGGGCTGGCCTGGATAAACCAGAACATGTGGCTGCTCTATCGAGGCATTATCTTCTTATTTGTGTTACTATTTTGTCATGATTGGTAAAGTTTAGAGAATCAATAAAGCTATAAATACTTATAAAATCATTTTCTAAATTCTGTTTCAGTAAATTAATTAATTTAAACATATATATCTGCATGTATTGGATATATACAGCCATTCCTTAATCCGGGGAAGCCAAATCTAGAACATGAAGATCAAAAGGAGAAAAGGACAGCAGGGAAGCAGCTATTTCATGAAGAACAGCAACTCTGCTCTAGAGCAGAGAGCTGGGGAGGTAGAAGGCTGGCAGCAAGAGGGGTGGATGTGGCAGTGTCACTCTGCTTACCTGAGTTTTCAAATGGCTACATTCTAAAATGCTGGAGAGTCTCACAAAAAATAAGATATGATAAAGAGTTGCTTTTTTGTTTGGTAGCAATTTGATTAAACACTGATTTACATGTAAGTACTACTAATCTCAGACTTATTTTATAACTAGTTTTTCCAAAAAACTTTCAATAATGCTAATTTCTGTATAGAAAAGCACTTGGTTAAAAGAGAGAGGGGAAAAAAAAGTCAGCACAATTAAAAACAATTTTTTTTAGTTATACACGGATACAATATCTTTGTTTTGTTTATTTATTTTCATGTGGTGCTGAGGATTGAACCCAGTGCCTCACATGTGCAAGGCAAGCGCTCTGCCACTGAGCCACAACCCCATCAGTGTAATTCTTAATCAAAACAATAAGACCACCTAAACTCCTTTTCGCTAGTTGCGCATGTTCTAATTTTATGGTTAACCCAAATGTACAAAAGAAGTGAAAAATTAAACTTGGTTCAGAAAAAGAAAAGCACTCATTAATTTCTCTCAGTGTTTAATCAAGTTCCTCAGTATTGCTGGAACTATATTGGGCTTCCAGTTGTTAAAACTATTTTAAGCATGCTCTTAAAAACAAAAATATCTAGACTATTACTTCAGATAAACAGTATGGTCAATAATCTTCACATATTTATTTTACATTCATATGCTTCCTGCCTCCAAACCACAGTTATTTTCCCACCTATTTGCTAAAAACTTCACAAAATATAAATGTAAACTATACAACAAAGAAATAAAACTCTATTGTGTGTAAATAACAATCATACATAGTTTTATTGGTTGATAGTTAATAGATTTCACTTTAAAAAATACTTACCAAGTTAAGGGCTGGAGAAAGTTCTGTATAGACACATTAATTTCTTTTTTGTTTTAATTGAAAACTGGAAGCTTAGAGTATAATTACCTCTTTAACAAATAATTGTCATGGTCAAATTAAAACACTTTTAACATTGCTACATTCAAAGGAAGGGAATAATAATCATTAGAACAGAGTATACATTTATTGTAGTACTGATGGGGTCAGGAGGTACATACAACTGTATATATGTTATCAATTCCCAAAGCATGGTCAAATTTGGAGTAGGAAATAGAAGAAGAGGTAAACAGTAATTGATTTATCCTGGCTGTATTTGGCTTTTTCTCAAATCACCTTCTTAGGAGATTTAATCACAGCCAAGAGCTATTTTTAAAATTCAACAGAGGTGACCAAATAAAAATTAATTTAAAAACTGCTAATAGGAAAATTATTTTAATGAACATCTCAGTTTTTATGCAGAACATATTTAGAAAAGAACACATACACTGACTTAAACCCTGTTGCTTCTTTCATTCTTAGGTACAAAGCTAACTCACTGTATTTGTAATTGAAGAGACTCCATGTCCTGAAGCTGGCCCATCTGGATATAACTCACAGAAAAAAAAGATGGGTTCACAGTGAATTCCAAAGTCACTACTCACTGTTTAAGCTTTGTGAAATGTATCAAAGTGGAATGAATAACTCAACATTAAAACTTGCCCTATATAAGCCATTTTGAAGTTGGAATTTAAAAAGCCGAATTGTTCTGATGGAATTCTTAATTTTAATTCTTACAGAAGCAGACTTTTTTTTTCAGGCTTTCTCTTCCTTTAAACTAAGAAGACCTAGGTCAACTCTAAGGCCGCTCAAGGACCCACATCTCACTCATCCTATCCTCTCTAGTGCACTCTCCTTTCCAACTTATGTTTAGAGATAATCTAACCCAAGGTGGGCATTTGAAATACCTTAATGAAGACTTGAAAAATGGTTCATGCTTTCTGAATACCTAATGTTGAAAATAAAACAAAATTTAAAAAGAAATTGAGCACACTTGATATTGAAATAGAGCTTACCTTAGAGCCACGCTCGTTAAAGATTATTTCTACATCTAGGATTTTGCCAAACTGCTGCAGAGACAAAAGCAAAAACATTTATTTATAGTCAGCCTTTAATCCACAGGTTTTATTTCCTTCTGAGAAATAAATTGTTTTTTTTTCTTCCTCTTTGAACCGGTATTTATCAATAACCATTTTTTTTTTTTTTTTTTTTAATTTACTGGTTTGTTTCACAGTCTCTGTTTTTTTTTTTTTTCTCTGAGCTGATGGCATCTCCCTGTCCCTTCTTCCTCAACTCCCTCGCTAAGCGCCACCCTTCTTCTAAGCGCAGCCACTGTGTGAAGACACTACAGTGACACCCTACTGATGCACTTCTACACATATAGATTTTTAATTACCCCTCTAATTTTTTAAATGTCTCAGTTTTAAGGAGTAAATCCTGCCTGGGCGTGTTGGGTGCATGTCTGTAATCCCAGTGACTGGAAGGCTGTGGCAGGAGGAATGGAAGTTCAAAGCCAGCCTCAGCACCTCGGCCAGGCCCTAAGCAACCTAGTGAGACCCTGTCTCGAAATAAAAATAAATGAATGAATGAATGAAATAAAAAGAACTAAGGATGTAAAAGGGCTGAGCGTGTGGCTCAGTGGTTTAGTGCCCCTGGGTTCAATCCCCAATACTAAAATAAAGGAAAGTAAATCCCACTAAGTAGGATAAGCTATTGAAGGTTGTTTCCCCCCACTTTTTGTGGTACTGGGATTGAACCCATGGGCCCTTTAACTCAGCTGCATCCCTAGTCCTTTTTATTTCATTTCATTTCATTCATTCATTTATTTTTATTTTGAGACAGGGTCTAAGTTGCTGAGGCTGGCCTTGGACTTGCTATCCACCTCCCTCAGCATGGATTGCAGGTAAGCACCACCATGCCTGGCTTCCTCCTCCTTTTTAAAAAGAATTTTATACAAGTAAACCATATTCATTGTATAAAAATTAGAAAATATAAACAAAAAGAAAGCAAGAAAACTGAAAAAAGATTATACGAATCCCACTATCTTATTAGTGTTTTAGTATATGGCCTTCTAGGCTTTTTTCAGGCACACAGATAGAAATAACTGTATCAGATACATTCCACATATTTCTTTAAACTTAGCAATAGACTATGAACAACTATCAAAATCAACAAATATATATCTGTGTTATCATTCCTATAGGCTACATGCCATTCCACCATACATTTTTGACATTAAGGATGATTTCACTTATTTGCCACTTCAACTTTTCTGCCACAAACATCAAGAATATTTTAGGTAAACTCTTGTTTAGTAATTATATAAATATCTTAACACCCTAAAACCAAATGGAACTAAAGACCCAAAGTCTATCTGGCCATTACTAGAAAGTTACACAAAGCACAACCTTATTCTAGGGGAGGCAGATTTAAGGGACAGAACTGTTTAGTTAGTACTTGGATAGGCTGAATTGAAGGAATGTGCAGGGAATCTCCAGGTTATCTTTTTGGCTTACACTTCCCTTAGAGTACTGGGCTCATGTCCCATTAACTTATTTCACTTGGATTCCAAGCCAGACCTTTAAAAATGTGTGTGTGTGTGTGTATGTGTGGGGTGGGGGTGGGGAGCAAAACAGAGATTATGCTTTTCTACTGGACTGAATTACTATTATCTTTATCAAAAAACATGTATTAAGAATCCAAGTTTTTTTTTTTTTTAAATGCTAAGTCTTTTTTTTTTTTTTAAATATTTATTTATTTTTTTTAGTTCTCGGCGGACACAACATCTTTGTTTGTATGTGGTGCTGAGGATCGAACCCGGGCTGCACGCATGCCAGGTGAGCATGCTACCGCTTGAGCCACATCCCCAGCCCAAGAATCCAAGTTTTTAGGGAAGGGAAACATGAGAGGAATAGATGAATTCTAAATAGATGAATTCTAAAGAGGGGAGAGAGGGAAAGGGAGGAGGCAGGGGATTAGCAAGGATGGTGGAATGTGATGGACATCATTATCCAAAGTACATGTATGAAGACATGAATTGGGTGTCAACTTACTTTATATACAGAGATATGAAAAATTGTGGTATATATGTGTAATAAGAATTGTGATGCATTCCGCTGTCGTGTATTTAAAAAAATAAAATCAATTAAAAAAAAGAATCCAAGTTTTATAGAAGAAGACATCTAAGCCTGATTCTGGTTTCATCTTTGAACAAAAAATTAGAAAAATCAAGGAAAGAGAAAAATAAGCTGCCAGGTATACAGAGCTAATAAAATGGTGCATGGAATCTCTGCTCTTCACCAATGCCACTGACTTTCTAAGTCACAGGCATTAACCATGTGTGGGGGGGGAAGCAACAGGTGTTCCCTGTAAGGAAAAATTTCTTTCTCATTTTAACCTTATGGGAAGGGCATACTACATTTCAAGAAATCCCTAACTGACCTAGGCAGTTCAACGGACACTGTTTTTCTGACTCAAGAGAATACACATCTGACAGATGAGAACGTGCTCCCTTCTTACAGACTCCAAAGACTAAGAGTTTCATCTGTGTTGGAAGGTTGCAAAGGGAATCCAATAATTCATGCTCTTGGGAAGTGTCTCCTTATTTGCTGTTCTTTCTACTTTTTGTTGCAGTCTTTTCTGTCAAGATGGAAAACGGCCAGTTACCATTTTCTGTGTAAAAGCTCTTTAAGGACTTCAAGAGCAGCATTAAAAAACCACCCTGGCCTTCTCTTCTGTAGGAGACAAACACAGGAAGCCAGATGAAAGTGAAACAGTTTTGTTCCAGTGTCCTGTCACCACACAGTGGACACAAGATTACTGCAGGGTTTCTCCTTTTCTAATAAGGCACTAGGCAGCTATCCTAATGAAATTTTTAATAAAACTATTGACTATTACTTGGTCCTAGGTCAAGTTGAAAGTTTGATCAAATTAAAATAGGCAACAATACAAAAAAATCAAGACTCTTAAAACCCATTTACTTCCAACAACATATGATTTTTTTAAAATTTATTTTTACATTTTAGGAGGACACAATATCTTTATTTTACATTTATGTGGTGCTGAGGATTGAACTCAGTGCCTCGTGCTTGCTAGGTGAGCACTCTACCACTAAGCCACAACCCCAGCCCCATAACATGAATTTTTAAATTACACTTTGCTTTTGGAGATTTGGGAGGAGGTCAACAGTTGAAGGGAATACATGAAAGGTAGCAGTATAACCCTCTACATCTCATTTTAGATAATGGTATTGATACTACTAAGTATAAATAAGGAAGTAAAAAAAAAAGGATATTATTCCATTTAATTCACAACATTCTGCAAGACAGAGATTACTATCACTATTTTTAGATATGAAATTCAAGTTCAAAGAGGTTACATGACTTTCCTAGGGTCATAATCAAACAGAACTCGATCCCAGGATCTTTGATGCCCAAATCTACACCTTTTCCACCTTAACAAACCACCCCTAAACCTATATTCTTTACACCATGATATTGCCAAGGCAGGGTAGCAAACAACAATAATACATTTCTGAACCACAGTCCTGGGGTTGAAAGCATGAGATGAGAGGAAGGCAATAATGTGCTGGGCTTACAGGGAAGGTAAAGAGCTAAGAATGTGACAGAAAAAATGCCCAACAGTTCCCAAACTTATCCACACAATAGAAACACCTGGGGATCTTGTAAAAAAACCATGTAGGCCCAAGTTATACCCAAGCCAGTTAAATCCCAGTCTTTGGATGTGGGACACAGGCATCAATATTTTTTAAGCTACTCAGGGGACTTCTAATGTGCAGGTAAGTTTAGGAATCACTGTGCTAAAACAACATGTATGTTTAGCTGGATTCAGTGGTGCACGCTTGTAGTCCCAGTTACTCAAGAGGATTGACTGAGACCAGCCTGGGAAACATAGCGAGACTGTCTCAACAACAACAAAGCAAAAAACAAAACAAAACAAAAAAACCCAAACCAAACCAAACAAACAAACAAAAAAACCAAAGTGTATGTTTTCTCTTTTAGGTGAAACCAAGCGTAATAATAATAATAATAATAATAATAATAATAATAATAATAATATTTACTAAGCTTCGTATGTGGGCAGGTGGCATCTCATCCTGGTTTCAGTACGGGAAGTCTCGTGGTCCAAGAAACACCTCATTCCCAGCCACATTGCAGTCAGTCTACAGCAGACTGGGTGGCAGAAAAAGATAGATGACAGGGGCTGGGGATGTGGCTCATGTGGTAACGCGCTTGCCTGGCATGCGCAGGGCGCTGGGTTTGATCCTCAGCACCACATAAAAATAAAATAAAGATGTTGTGTCCACCGAAAACTGAAAAATAAATATTAAAAAAAAATTCTTTCTCTCTCTCTTCTATCTTAAAAAAAAAAAAAAAAGATAGATGACAATACTGACTTACAGGGCTGGGGCTGTAGCTCACTGATAGAGCACCCGCTAGAATGTGTAAGGCCCTGTGTTCAGTCCCCAGCACCACAAGGAAAAAAAAAAAAGAAAGAAAATACTGATTTACCTCTGGATCTTCCTCAATCTCTTGTAGTTTTATCCTAATATATTAATGATTAATAACATATCTGGTGGATTAAATTCTATTATAATTACAAAATCCTCAAAAGGACTTTAGAAACTTACCCCAAACATCTGCCGGAGGTCAGGGTCCCGGAAGCGGAAAGGAATATTTGAGACATGCAGTCGTTTAGGGGTAGATTTACTCTCTGAATTTTCACTACTCTGCGTCTGTGACTGCTGGCCGTCTGTCTGTGCTCCACCTTCTGTCTGCTAAAGAAAGAAGCAAATAACACTGAATGAAAAATAAACACAATTACTTCATAATTCTATGAAAAATAAAGTCCTTCTTTACCACTTCCTAGGTTTATTTATGAGCAAACATAATTTTCCCCTTCAAAGAGAGAGACAGAAAAAAAAAAAAAAAAGACACCAAAGGTATTATCGATGTTCAAAATGCTTTAGTCTACAAACAATATTTGGATCTTCTGAATACTTACGGCACATTAACAGGAGGCACAGACACAGAAACACCAAGTGACCTGCCCCCCATCACATGGAGATATATTAGGATAACTGGTCATGTAAAAACAGTACCGTTATTCTTAGATTCTTATAGAGCTTTGTATTTCTGAGACTTTTCTATTTTGAAAACAAAGAGTCCATTGTACTTAGTTGTAGAGGTTACTCCACCTTTGGTCTTTCATCTCAGGCTCTCAAGGAAATAAAAGGAGGAAATATTTTTATATTCCATTCAGTCTATCCTAGAATACACGACCAGTTAGTTGACAAAGTATTATCACAACATTATAAAGAGGAGAACCTAGTGATGATAGTCAATTTGCCTAAAAATTGAAGCAGCTTCTTATTCTGAAATAAATGTGTACTTTCCTCCCTAATTTATGCAATCCAGGGGCCACCTCCTCCTTCACTAGCCCTGAACAAAGTTGCATTTAGTGAATCCAACTACTGAAAAAGACTTTTAAGGGACTCTGACTAACCTATTATCCAACATATAAATGCCAAATTTGTCCATATCCATAGTGGAAGAGTGTGAGTAAGTGTGGGTACACATTTTTAATCACAACTCTTTTGCAACACCTCAGGCACACATTATCCATTTTTCCCCCCACCAATTCCTCAGAAAGGTGGCTATATTGAGAAACATTTCTGACAAATGTGTAACAAGTGTGACACATTCTAGGCATGCAAAGATACATTTATTTTGAAGTATTCATCTGGCACTATAAGAGTCTATGTTTCACTATTTCCCTATGAAATACACGCCAAGCTGAATGGCTTGTTGAGCTGATTAACCAACATATTTTAAAAACAAGAGTGGACCTGCTATACTTATTATCTTAATTAAGACAGAACTGAGTCTCTGGCAGATTCTTCTGGTAGCACAGCATGAATCTCCTCCTTATGACCCAATGTTCAGGCTAAAAGAAACTGTGAATCAAAGATACTTTTGTCTCAGAGATGTTAACAACCATTTTGTAATGAAGTTTGAAATTTTAAAATAAAAAGGAAAATTAAAAATAAACTCTAAATGAATATTAGCTTTTCAAGAGTCACTCTAAGAGATGGCAGCTTGTTATCTCATCCCATTCAGGCCTTCCAGATGGCCTAAATGTGATATGATTCATGTGATTTGAAAATAGCAGAAAAGGGGAGAGTTATGAAGCAATATTCCATGAAAGTATAAGGTTTTCAGTCATCCATCGAAACACAATGTAGACTAAACAAAACAAATTCTATTCAGAGATGAAGCTTACTACAGCAGCACCAAGGACCCCAACATACAGTCAAAGCAACAGGCATCAATTGCAACTAATGCTCACTCAAGCGCCTTCAAACTTGCCTCTTATATTTCACAGCTGGATCACATAAAACTCTCTTCAAACTTTAAAAGCACCAGATTTGATCTACAGGAGGACAATGTATAACTTTGAGAAAAGTTAAAAAGATTTTACAAAGCTCCAAACTATAGTTGTAGACGGACACAATATCTTTTATTTATTTTTATGTGGTGCTGAAGATCGAACCTAGTGCCTCACATGTGCTAGGCAAGCGCTCTACCACTGAGTCACAACCCCAGCCCAAACTACAGTTTTCTTTATATGTATATTTCATCAGTAACCTGCCATAGTGTGTGTGAAGTGGCAGAATCTAAGAAAATTAATGACTACTTTGACATACATATACTGACTGAGGTTCTTAATGGTTACTTTTGAACATTCTTTACTGTCCTGAACATACAATTTAAGAAGGTTAGAAGTCAGACTGATAAAATTTCCAGTTTGTAATGAATACCTACCTACCTACCTATCTAAACAATTTTTTTTAAAAACATGGAACGCTTCACAAATTGCGTGTCATCCTTGCGCAGGGGCCATGCTAATCTTCTCTGTATCGTTCCCATTTTAGTATATGTGCTGCCGAAGCGAGCACTACCTATACTTTTTTTAAATTATGAAATCATAATTCTAGGAAATGTGGCAAGTGGAAAACATGAACTATCATTCCCCCAATTCTCAAGCCTTCTGATCTAATGCAACTTTTTTTTTTTTTTCAGTTTAAATATCTTAAGTTTATTTTATTCACATTTTCTTAACCAGGCAGCACTCAAAACCAGAATTAATTCAAAGAATTTCTGGGCTCAAAGTGGTCAATTATTTATAGGCAGAAAACATAAACAACATGTAGACAAAGATTAATTGGTTACAGCTCACAGTGGGTTTTTTTTTTTTTTTTGCCTTATTTTAATCTGCTGGCCACCCATGATTGATACAAGCTCAGCTTCTGTGCAATCACAGTAGGCTCAGCTATTTGTTACAAGAGTATACTCCTAAGTTAGGCTTTTGCTTGGTTTACATACTAAGTTAGGTTGTAGTTTGTTACCTAAGACTAATGCAACTTTAAAATGGGAGGTTAAAACAGATAAAAATGCATAAATCATCAGCAAATCTGTACATTTTCACACAGGAAGTATAACCAAAATTAGATCAAGAAATGAGTGGCACTCCAGGAGAACCCCAAGGGCCCACCTTAGATCTTGGTCTTAACGCCTAGCTCCCCAGGTTAGTTTTGTTGTTTTTCAATTAAAAAAAACAATAAAAATAAAAGGGATCATACATATGTACTCTTTTATTTGGCTTCTTTCACACATTGTACTTATGAAACACACATATTATTGTAATTTTTCCATTCACACTTTGTTGTATAAACATACAGAATTTATTTGAGCTGCTTTCAGTTCTGGCCATTAAGAAAAACATTCCTGGGCTGGGGCTGTAGCTCAGTGGTAGAGCACCTGCCTAGCACAGTGAGGCACTGGGTTCTATCCTTAGCACCACATAAAAATAAACAAATAAAATAAAGGCATTCTGTCCGTCCATAAATACAAACACAAACAAACAAACAAAAACATTCTTGTGAACATTCTTGCTTACCTGTCTTTTGTACACACAAACATGCATTTGCATAGGGTATATGTGCATCCAGGAGAGGATTTGCTGGGTCAAGGATAGGTATATGCTCAGCTTTAATGACACTGCTACTTTTCCAAAGTGGCTGTGTTATGTCATACTCCCAAAAATTCTTCATAAGAGTTTTAGTTGCTCTTAGTTTTGTCATTTCATAGTAGCATTATATTGTGGTGTTTATTTGCATACCTTTTCATGTTTCTTGGACATTTTGATATTCCTCTTTTGTTATATGTCTGCAAATTCTTTGACCATTTTCTATTAGAATGACTCTTTTTGCTTGTGATTTGTAGGTGTTTTGTATAATCCCAATGACTCCCCTTACCTCCTTCTATAATTAATTAATTAATTTGAGGTGCTAAGGATCGAACCCAGAACCTCATGCATGGTAGGCAAGTGCTCTTCTACTAACCCCTGGCCTCAGGATATGAGCCCTTTGACAGATGCCTAATTATCTGTTTATACTCTTGTAGTTCCACTTTCAGCTTTTTCATATAACTATTTTAACTTGCTGGTTACCACCTAAAACTCCTCTACCACCAAAACGGCCATATGAATGTTCATTTTTGAACAGACACTATTATCTTTTCAATCTGCTTCCTCAAATATCCCCACATAACACATTCTTGATCTCATTGGTACAAACACGCTCTCCATTTCCCCATCTCTGACTCCTCCCTCACCCATTCTTTCCTTTCCTTTCTATTTAGGCTTCAGGACCTATCATTTCGATCTTGTTGGTTGAATCTGCCTGGAAAAACCACAACCTTGAACGAGTCCCACCATCAATTCTAAGCTTAAGCATGGGCAGGTAACTTGCTGGAGGAAAGCCATGCACCTGAGCGGTTGTGTGACACAATAGTGGCACCAACTGCAGAGGCCCTCTGTGCCGCCAGCCCACACGCCGAGTGTCTTCAGTCAGCTCGCACTCCTGCTCTCTACAAAGAGCATTTCAAACTTGCTTTCCTCTAGTTAAACCTCAGGGCTTTTCTTCTTTCTACTTAAATAATTTTGTTGAAAAATAAGAATTCCCTGTAAAAGAGCACCTATTTTTTGGAGTGTGTATTCTGTCAGATCTGATCTAAACCTTTAATAAAATTAGGACTTTGTAAACAGAGTTCATCAGTTTCCAGACACTAGCCTAAGTATTTTACACATCTTAAGAAATTTAATTCTTTCATCAATCCTTCTTTTTTCTTTTTACTGAGAGCATGGCTGGGTGCAGTAGTGCACGCCTATAGTCCCAGTGACTCAAGAGGTTGAGGCAAGAGGACAGCAAGTTTGAGGCCAGCCCCAGCAACTTAGACCTTGTTTCAAAAATAAAAGGGGAGGGGGGCTGGGGAAGGTAGCTCAGAGATAGAGCACACCTGGGTTCAATTCCCTGTAATGAAATAAATTGAATTAAATTAAAAAATTTTAAAAATGAGGGACTAGTACATGCTGCTTCTTGTTCTCATTCTTTAGAAGAGGAGACTAAGGAACAGAAAGACTGTCTAAGTGATGGAGCAAGGATTCGGGCCCGGGCAGTCTGGCTCCAGAGTGTATGTTCTTAATCACTATATTATACTATGCTTTTCAGGTATTATTTTAATTCTCACAATAACTCTATGAGGTAGGTACTATTATCCCCAACTGACAAAAAGGAAGATATTAAGGCATAAAGAGGCTACCCAACATCTAAGGTCACATAATAAGTGGTCCAGTAGGAATTCAGTGAGGTAGCCCAATTTCATAAGCTGAACCTCCTTCTTCTAGCCCGGCACAACCATGTCCTCATAGGTTTTC